AGACCACTGAGCCATCTCACCAGCCCCGGTTTAGGCTTTTTTTAGAGGATTCAGTCCATGGCCCTCAGCCCCAGGGCAGGAAGGGTGTGGCCAAAGAGCTGGGTGCTCCTCTGTGGGAGGGGAGGGGCCTCCTGAGCAAGCCTTCTAGCCCCCACCAGGCCCCAGCTCCTAGCAGTAGGTCAACTACAGACCACCCCCCCAACCAAGTCTAGTTTCCTCCAAAAGCCCAGCCTCTGAACTTGTGAGGCTTTTGAGAGACATCCTGATTCAAACTAAAATAGTTTTTAAAAATATGCTAAACATTGAGTTTTAATTTAAAATTTATACTGTTATAGTTTGGTTGTTTGGGTTGGGTTTTTGTAGGGTGGGTTGGTTTGTGACAGGATATTGGTGGCCTCGAACACACAGTGTAACCTAGGCTGGTCTCAGAGTTCTCGCAGTGCTCTTGCCTCAGCCTCCCAAGTGCTAGGATGACAGGTGACACCAACACACTGGGCAGAATTGTGTGCTTTTATTTATAATTTTCAATTTTTTGAAAATGCAGGGATTGAACCCATGATAAGCCTTACTCTGCCAATGAGCCATGCTCCATTTAACTATGTATTTGCACCCTTTTTTCCAGTCTGGGGATGTAATTCAAAATCCATAGACTATGATTTGCAGTTGTTTTCATTATTATTAAGTACAGCAAGGTCTTAAAGGTACCATAGGGCTGGGGAGATAGCTCAGTGGAATAAGTGCTTGCCTGGCAAGCACAGGGTCCTGAGTTCAATCCCTGGTACCACAAAAATCAATCAGTAAATAAAAATAAAACGATGATGACAACTTAAAAAAAAAAAGGTACCATAAATTATTCCAGTACAGAATCCTTCTAGTTATTTTTTCTAGACTTAAGATTTCCACATCTACATTACGATTTTTTAAATTATAGTTTTCCTAGAAAGAACTGTTTGTTTTCTACTTTATTCATTTGTTAAGGAATAATTCTAAGTTGTGTAATTTCAATATCAAAACACTTGATGAAAGATTTGTAAAAAGCAAACTGACTCTTGGGAAGCACGTGGGAAGTCGGATGGAGGCCAGACGCAGCAGCCCGCAGCTGCCCGGCCCTGTGTGGTCACCACCGGCCCCACTGCGTGCTGGTGGGAGACGGAGAGAGGGACAGTGACTTCAGTGTCCTGAAGAGAATTCTGAGTGCTTTGTTTTGCTTTGTGTTACCAGGGATCAAACTCAGGACTTTACATTTTCCGGGCACACTTTTATACCACTGAGCTATCTCCCTGGCCTGAATTTTGGGTTTTTTGAGAAGTACTTTTTAGGGGGCTGGGAAGATAGCTCAGTGGAATAAGTGCAAGGTCCTGAGTTCAATACCTGATATGGGGAAAAAAAAAAAGTGTTTTGGGTTTTTTTTTTTTGCGGAACCTGGGATTGAACTCAGGCCCTTGCGCTTGCCAGGCAAGTGCTTATTCCACTGAGCCATCTCCCCAGCCCCAAGAGAGATTTTTTTTAAAGCTTTAAAATGGTAGATGTAGTTTCCCAGTTTTATAAAACAAAGAGTTTATGTATGCATATGCAGAGTTAGTTTCATACCAGATTGGTTTGGAGTTAGCGTGGCCACAGCCATACCAGAACAGATAGTAGCTTCAACAAGCCAGAGGTCATGTCATGGAAAGGAATTCACAGGTCTAGTACAGCAGGTCCCTTCAGAAACCAGACGTCCTTCTGCCTTCGTCTCTCGGGTCCTCATGGTCCAGGTGGCTGCTGGCGTTACAGCTACCGTGTCTGGGTTTCAGACGAGCAGTCCTAAAAAGGGAAAGTAAAAAGCGCTTTCTCTTTGAAGCAAATGATACCAGAGTCACACACACTTACCTGCATCACATTGTCTGCTATTTAATTACATCTGGCTGCAACAATGTAGATAATACATCCTCCCAGTGTTTTAACTGGTGAGGGTAAGGAACATCACATATCTAGCTTAAAAAGGAGATTCTAGGCTTCCAATTTTCAAAATTTAGATACTAACAAACAATACAAGCTTTTTTTTTTTATTTCTTATTCGCTTTCCTGCTCTCTTTTCATCTGTTTATTTTCTGTCACTACTGCTGAAACAATACAAGCTTTATGTACATGTGCCAGCTCCCCAAGAGGATTGTAAAATGCATGAACTGCAAACATGTACTAATAAAATTTGTAAAAAATAAAGCAAATTTAGATATCTAGAAGTATGGAACAGAAGCTGCCAGAGTAGGCTGGGAAGGAGCTGGAGAGCAGCAGCAGGCCACATAGTTGGAAGGTTGAGCAGGTCTAGAGACCTCAACTTGAATTAGCCTAAAAACTAAAGTTAATTTCCTGGCAAGCACAAGGGTCTGAGTTCAATCCCCGGTTCCGCAAAAAAACCCTAAAGTTAAAATTAAAGAAAGGCCAGCCAGGTAACTGAAGCTGATTAAAGCACCTGCTTAGGTAGACGCAGGGGTCAGAGGTTTGATCCCGGGCCTGCCATGCCGGCCCGCCGCCAGGGCGCGCTGAGAGTGCCATTGAGACTGGGCATGGCAGGGGCTGGGGAGATGGCTCAGTGGAATAAGTCCTTCCCTGGCAAGCCCAAGGGCCTGAGTTCAATCTCTGGTTCTGCGAAAGAGAGAGAGAGGGGGAGGGA